TGCCCTTTTAACCTTGGTAGTCTGACTATATTATTAACTATCGTCCAATCAAAACTTGCCCTTTTAACCTTGGTAGTCTGACTATATTATTAACTATCGTCCAACCAAAACTTGCCCTTTTAACCTTGGTAGTCTGACTATATTATTAACTATCGTCCAACCAAAACTTGCCCTTTTAACCTTGGTAGTCTGACTATATTATTAACTATCGTCCAATCAAAACTTGCCCTTTTAACCTTGGTAGCCTGATTATATTATTAACTATCGTCCAATCAAAACTTGCCTTTTTAACCTTGGTAGCCTGACTATATTATTAACTATCGTCCAATCAAAACTTGCCCTTTTAACCTTGGTGGTCTGACTATATTATTAACTATCGTCCAGTCAAAACTTGCCCTTTTAACCTTGGTGGTCTGACTATATTATTAACTATCGTCCAATCAAAAAAAATATTTCACTTTTTTTTTTCTTTTCTAATTCGTGAAAATTGCTTTGCTGAAAATACAATAGGCCTAATACTAAAGACAGGTATAATTAATTACATTTTTGTTTACTTGCTGACTAAGTATTATTTTATTAAAAGTTACAGCTTTTACAGTAAGGAAGAATATTTTTAGAATAGGTACGACGTTTCGTTCATTAGTGCGATCATTTTTAAGTACACCACTAACATCCAAGGCCGAAACGGTAAGCGTGTTCAGGGTCGGGGATTCGAACCCGCGACCTGCGAATCGAACGCCCAAACCACCAGGCTATGCCAGGCCCAGAACAGAGTAGATGTAATATTTATACACGTACTTGAACTGAAAGCACTTATGTTCTTGGAAAACCGGAAGGATTACAAGTCCACCAGTCTGGTATGGATTCATGGATTATATATTTGGAGTCTCTTATTAGTGTTCACGAGTTCTTGAATACAGCTCATCCGTTCATAAAATTTATTGTTACTTCTGTCACACCAGATGTAAACTTACCATTTATGTTGAGGATAGGAAATCACTACTGGTATTT